CAGTCTAGGCGACAGTGAGACTCCAACTCAAAAAAAAAAAAAAGAGCTGGATTTGGTGATGAAAATCACATATGAATCACATGAAACATTTTCAGATGGAGTTTGGCCAGGGAATAGAAAAATAGGAAATTTGAATTCACAGAAGAAATGTTGCCTTTATATGCCCAACTGCAAAAATGCAGTACACACACACACACACACACACACACACACACACAATTATATAATTAAAGTAATAGGAACAAAAATTACGAGAGCATAACTTGGAAGTTTTTACTGAGAAAACAGCATTATGGTATCCACATTGCTTTTTGAAATGCAGCGTCTTTCCTTTCTCAAAATATGGATAGATGGATGGATGGATGGATGGATGAGAGATGATTGATAGGATGGATGGATAGATGATAGGATGGATGGTAGAGGATGGATAGAGATAGATGGCTGAATGGATGGACGGATGGGTGGACAGATAGGCAGGATGGATAGATGAATAGATAGATGATAGATAGAATAGATAGATAGATGATGATGATTAAGATAGATAGCATGGATAGAGATAGATGGATGGATGGACGGATGGACAGACAGACAGGATGAATAGATGGATGGATAGATAGACAGATAATAGATAGGATGGATGGATAGATAGATAGATAGATAGATAGATAGATAGATAGATAGATAGATAGATGCTGAAGACAGGATGAATAGAGATAGATGGATAGATGGATGGACGGACGGATGGACAGACAGACAGGATGGATAGATGGATTGATAGATGATAGACAGGATGGATGGACGGGTGGACAGATGGATGGGTAGACAGAGAGAGAGAGAGACAATAAGCAGGGTATAGGCATTTTGCCAGGTGCTGTGAAGGACTCCAAAAAAAGTATGCAAGTAGGAAAGAGAAGATAAGTCGTTATAATGCCTTATTTTGAGAAAATACATCTCTCACACACACACACACACACACACACACACACACACACACACACACACACACACACACACGTGTCATAAGTCACCTGGACTCACCTCCAAGAGATACAGCCTACTCAGGAGAAATAAGGAAACAAAGACAGACTAATAGCTGCTGACATTTGGAAGTGCGGAGCCTGAGGCTCTGGAGAAGCTGTGGGTTGAAACAGACAGCAGAAAAGCAGGTATACTGGTGGAAGAAACTCGTCAGCAATTTCACAACAATGAGGGATTAATGCAACGAAAGCTGAGCCCTATGACACACTTACCCATAGGTCATTTTATGCCTCTTGTAAGAAATCTTGGCCTATTTAGTTAGGAGAGGCCTTGTCAACATTGTCAATATTTAAACCATCATGAATCCTCGACTTCAATACAGGTATGTTAAAACTTGACAGCATAATCTTTTGTGACAGAGTGGCTAATTAAACTCATTCTAGATGACAGTTATTTCAGAAACGCTTGTTTAGAATCCATCTCTAAGCAGGAAGGCACTCTACACAAAGCCACAGCAGTCAAATCACAAAGGGATGCATGCTGGTCTTAGTTAACCATGACCATGTTCAACACATCATCAGAAAAAAATACTCTTGAAAGTCAATACTGTATTTTGTGTTGTGATTTCTCTTATTCTGGACTATATTTTTCTCTATCATGTAGTAGCGACAAAATAAATCTAAGCCTTCTGTAAAATATACACTGTATATTTTTGGAGGTAGTAGCCCCCCAAAACAGAGGCAGGGCAGAAAAAGAAAAATGTGTACTCTTTATTTTTTTAAATGGATTAACAATCGATCTTAAGAAAGAATTGTAGGGATAGCCTAAGGGAACAAGCTCAACTGAGACTTTGGAAGATAAAGGAGAGAAAAATAGTCTGAAAGAATGTTTGGTTCAACAGGTGAAGAAAGTAAGGTGAACTCTAGCTATCAGTCAGTTCATACAGAGCATGTAATCTCAACATTGAAAGTGCGTGTTCTGGAGAGAGAGACTGCCTCTGTTAAATGTCAGCTTATTTACTTATTGATTGTGTACCTTTGGGAACATTACTTAATCTCTGTTTCTTTACCTGTAAAATGAGGTAACACTATTCATAGCAATGAGAATTCTATAAAAATTAAATGAAATGATACACAGAAAGCACTTAAGATAATGCATGGCATTGAGAAGTATGCAGTAATATGAAATTATTAATAATTAATCATTACTGAGTGACTTTTAAGAGCTATATGTATATTTAGAACTCTAAGAGAAAATCTCAACATGAACTTGGATATCACATATATGTCCTGAGCCATCCATTTTATTAAATATTTGTAATTTATTAGATATTTATAAATATCCAAATTGTTAATTGAATAGATTTTTTTCATATGTAAATATTTGCCATCATGGTAATTCAGTTTATCAGATTTTTCTCAGTGACAGAGAACATTTTAATGCTGTGCGTTAGAATCATTTATAATAATAAATCTGTTTTTCGTAAAGACCTGACAAACCCTTAAAATCTCAAAACACACAAGGAGCTTAATGCTGTGGTTCTTCACGCCTTCGAGAGAAAGTCTGAACTTCTCATCATTCCCTCCTGGCACTTCATAATCTAAGCTGATCTCCCCCCCCCACATCTCCTCATTCACTCTTTCGGCCATCTACACTAGCTACACATTAAAGTACTTTCATCCCTGGCTCTCACCAAGCAATATTTATATGGACTAGAATTCCAGCTATTTCCCTTCTCTCCCTGATGACCAACACTGTTTCATAATTCGAATTTAATAGCACTTTCTGTTTGTATTGCTATTGTTGCAAACTGGCTTCAGATAGTTTTGTTGATATACGTACATGGTAATTTTTAAAACAATTTGAACACGAGTTTCTCTAAGCTAGAATGCACTGTCCAGTTTTCCAAAGCCTTCCAACTCTATTTTTTTTTAATACATTCACATTCATCCATTTACGGAATTACTTCATCTTGTAGACATTTGAGTTATAACCCTGGAGAAAGCTTTTAAGTTCCTTCCCCATTCCTCTTCCCACAGGAAGAAT